TAAATCCAATCTCTTCTTCTTCTAGGTTGCATGCTAAAATTAACAAGTTGTCACAAAAGTGGTTCTGAGCTCCCCCCAAAAAAGAACCCGAAAACATAAGTCACACAGCGTTTTCAGGCCGAGGATTGTCAATTTATTTTTTAAAATTTTATTTGATATATCTCACTCTCCCCTGCAAGCCGGCTCAGGGCAGGTCGCAACATAGACTCTCAACTGAGTGGTTTCCCAAGCCGCCTCTGTTTACTCAGAGCTCAACAACACTTCCTTAGCAACACGACTAAGCAACTCCTCTTCACAGCCGTTTGCAGCAGGTACAGGCAGCGTCTGTTTTGTGACTTTTTAAATGCAAATTTGCCTTAGAGGGGGAGGTTGTCGAGTTTGCTGTTCCCTTCACGTTGTTTTCAAGTAGGTTTTCCCAAGCTTATGTTTCTCCTGGTTCTGTTTGGTTGTGTTTTATAGACAGCAGCGATCCACAAAATAGGCAGGTCGAGAAAGAAACCTGATAGATGAGAGTGCCGATGTACAAAAAAAATCCTGGTCAGAGGAAGATGTTAATAGTGAGACATTTGATGACACCTTCCTTTGTCTGTATACAGTTGAAAGTAAAGTCTGAGCGGTTCTTCTTCATGCCAGATGGACAGTCGGTTCTGTAGTTCTGATGGCGAATGAGATACAAATTGCTGACTCTGGATAGAAACTGCTGGGGGAAAGGAATAACTTGCTAGAATTCTGGGCTGTTTCAGCATAGAGAGCCCCAGTCTCCCCCCCCACACACCTTTATGGAAGATCAAACCTGCAAGTGACTTTAATTTTATTTATTTCAGAATTTTTATGTCACCTCATCAGAGTCCTGATGGAGGTGGCTTTACAATTAAAATAATAAATATAAAATCAATAGGCTGTTAAAACAACTCAGGGACATAAGTGGCGTAAAACTATTCATAAAATAGACTTCAGACCATAGACATAGAAGTTAGAGACTCTAGAGCAGGGGTGTCGAACTCATTTGTTATGAAGGCTGGATCTGACCTAAATGAGACCTTGTCGGGCCGGTCCATCTGTGTCATAAAATGTAATGCCAGGTAGCGGAGATATAAACTTTATAAAGGACACAAACACAAAGGTTTTTTTTTTACTTAAAATAAAAACATGTTTAAAACATGAGCCCTCTTGCAATATTTTGTTTATTTAACAGTGTCTGATAACTGACACCCCTTGCTCTGCATTATTGCATCAAAATGCCTGTGCTGTTGCAATCTTGAGTATGCTGTTCAGGTGTGCATCTGGTAGCTGCAAACCTACGATGACGCAGCAGCAGCAGCAGAACTGGAAGAAGCAGCAGGAGACAGCCAGTTTCACTGCGGGCCTGATAGAAGCCCTCTGGGGGCCTGATCCGGCCTCCGGGCCACATGTTTGACACCTCTGCTCTAGATGTTATAAATAGGCTTTAGTCATGGAACAATTAGGAGAAGAGGACATCACAGTGTTACAGAATCATATAAATAAGTTTTGCAGGGTACACAGTGAATTGCTTCATGGCTTAGAAAAAGCATAGCAACTGTGCTTTAATCCAGAGGTTCTACAATTGATATGATATACTATTTTTTTTTCTTCCTTGGGGGGTGTGCCTGTATGTGTGTGTGTACACACACATCTATTATCATCATCATCATCATCATCCTTAGGTGCTTTAAAAGCAAAGGATGGTGACAATACGGACTTGAACACACTTCTAAGCTCATTGACTTCAATAGACTTCGAAGATATAACGTACTGATACAGCGCAGGTTTATTCAGAAGTATGTCTTTCTGCAATCTGTGTAAAACAGAATGCTTCTGGTAATAGGGTAGGGCTGCCAAGTGGGGGCGGGGGGCGGGTAAACCCCCGCTTTGGAGGCCTGATTTCCGCCACCGCGGAATCGGGCCCCGGGGGGAACCCCGCACCCCAAAGCACAGCGTGGCTGCGTCACAGAAAGTGACGCAACCACGTAGATCACGTTGGGGGCGTGGCCCCAATCGTCGGAGGGAAAACTCTATGGTTTTCCCTCCAACGATTGGGGCCATGCCCCCAACATGCTCTACGTCGTGCGTCATTTCCTGTCCATCGGCAGCTCCCGGACCCCGGCAATGCTCCCCCGCCGGTGAGTCCGAGCGACTTGGCAACCCTATTATAGGGCCATATTACAATGGGCTAGTCCAGGAAGGTGTATTTAATAAAGGTAACATGAATACAGACTATATATTAAGTGTGTATAGTACCTCTCCACCATAGGTGTTATCTTAATAATAATAAAATAATAATCTTTCAATTTATTAATCTCTCAATCCTTGCAGAGCTGCTGGCTCTGAGCGATTTACAGTTACACATTCACAAGGGACTAACAATGATTCATAGGGGTAAGGGAGGACAACACATATAAATCTTTAAATTGCACATGTTCGCAGCCAACAGCTGTAGACTAGACGTGGTCCAGACGGCATTTTTCCTTCGGCTTGGCTTGATGACGTCAGATCTTCCTCTCTCACTGCATTGTTCTTTCGACTTAATACTATGTTCTGCATTGTTGAACATACATCTAACACTTCGTTTCACACTTCAACAATCGTAGTCCTATTACATTCCTTATTACATGTTTCCGCCTGTTGATTGCCTTGCTTTAGACTGCATCATCTGCCTGTGGTCTTGATCAGAAAGCTGGACTATAGATTAAGTAAATAAAGTACAATTTAGTTTCGGAGTACAGCTGTGTCGGTCTGCAGTAGAGCAGGCGGGGTCCAGTTAGCACCTTAGAGAGACCAACAAGATGTCAAGTTCCCATCATCAACAGGTTCAAAAATTCATCGGGGCTTTAGTCCTAGACAATATCCCAGGACCGCAGTCTTTTATGCACGATGCAGTCCCGGGCGCACTTCCCTGGGACTCAACAACCTCATTGAACAAAAAGGGAATAAGGGCGCCATTCCCCTCGGCGCGGCGCCGCTTCCACTTTCCAGGGCTGCAAAAGTTTGCTTTTTTTCTCCAACCACTGGGGACCTGCCAGAGGGCCAGGAGTGCCGACAGCCAGGCCGGCACACCGGATCTCCCTTCCCAGGGTTTGGGCGAAGGTTCCCAGTGCCAGGTGAAGGTTCTGCCCCTTTCCCCTGAAACTGTCCACGGGCTAAGGAAGAGAGATGCGAGGCTCTGCCGGCGGCAACTCCAGGCTGCGCCGCTGGCTTGGGAGAAAGTCCGTCACTTCCCCGGAATACAGG